CTACACGTATATCCATATATTTGCTAGTTCCTCCACTATGTAACTTCTCAGCTTTCCATGAACTTCAATAGGTATTGAGATAGCTTTGTAGTTCTCCATCTCGAACTTGTGTAACAAGTCCATTGTGTACTTCTTTTAGCACATGATTATACATTTTTTGCATCGATCTACTTCTAAGCCAAGAAAGTAATTAGCTCCCCCAATTCCACCTCGAATCTCACAGAAAGATTACCATGAATGTGCTTGATCTCATCCACATCATCACTTGTGATGATCACATCATCCACATAGACTAGCAGAATTGCTAGCTTTCTTTCTTGTTCTTTCACAAGCAAGCTCAAATCCTCAGGTGCTACAATGTACACGATAAATATCAAGAACTTACCTGTCTTTATATACTATGCTTGTGGAGCCTGTTTCAACTCTAACAAAGCCTTTTGTAGCTTGCAGATATGTTGTGCACTTGTGCCCTTTTGCTACACTCAAACCCATTTTGCTAATCCATGCAAATCTCAAGGTCTAACTCACCATGTAGAAAAGTGTTCTTCATGTCTATCTCCTAGAGTTGACACGAGTTTGCTTGCTGCAAGTGCGATCAACACTTGCATAGGTTTGATCTTCGCAACTTAGCTAAAAGTCTCATCAAAATACACACTATACTGCTACGAAAATCCTTATGCAATCAATCGTGCCTTGTAGCGATCAATGGTGCCATTTGACTACTTCTTTACTTTGGACACCCATTTATGTGAAACGTGCTTCACATTGTTTGGTCGTGGGACAGGTTTCTATTTCTCGTTTTTCTTAAGAGCATCAGTTTTCTTTTGCATTGCAGCCTGCCATTTAGCAACACCCTTTGCCTCATCAAACGAGGTTGGCTCTTTAACTTCAAAATCATTGGATACACCACATTGCACAAGTGACACCTACTATGCATATGCCATTTCTGCGTGCTTTGGATTTAGTTGTTGCTCATCAAGCTCCTCAGTGAAATCATATGCAACACATGCAATCCTTCAAGATAAATGTACTTCTACTTCATTTGGCACCCATGTATGATTAGACCACCTTCAATCTTCACCTCCTCAAAGACCTTGACATCGTTCGGTCCAAACACCACCTGGTGTCCTGCAGTAGTGATTTGTATTATCGACATTAAATTGATTCCATACCTTGATCATAATGCATGTTCTTTCTTGCATGAATCTTAGTTGCATCCATCTCCAACACAGTGAAAGTGAGGGAATTCCTGCCTCACGGTGAACTCCGATCAAGGTAGTATCTAGAGTCTATAGAAATCTTGCTTGTGCATCCCAATCACTGTCATTGGTTAGTGACTCTAGCTATGTATCATTTGTCAATGCATTCATGTTATCAGCCTTTCTCAGCATTTTGTACCATTCTCCTCCTCCTTGTATGAGTCTTACTTTGAGGGCTGATTTTTGTGCTTCCTCCCTCGCCACCCTTGGGTAGCCACAAATGCCTCCTCACTGTCCTTTATAGAGATCCCACCATCTACCTAGCTAGAGGCCCTTGATTCACCAATAGGTTCTCCAACCCGATCAATGTAGGTTGTGTGGGCCATCCTTGCACTGCAGTCAAGAACCCATTGAACTACGATTTAATCCTATAGATTATCAAATTCTGCATATGCTTCTCACCAATCCTCGTTTGCTTGTCAAGTTGGGAGATCTTGTTGTTTTTTACTTTCATACAATAGTGGAAAACCGTTAGTGAGCCCTATGTCAACAAATAATTATTCAACAGTTGCAACTTGGCATCATTCTCTCTCGAGAGTAAACACAAGAGGACATCTCATACTTCGGTATTTTTGTATATCTGATATGGTTTATAAGCTCCTTATGGATGGAAACTTTCAATGCATAAAGCGCCTCACCTACTCAAATCTTCTGCTTCTGCATGGCTTCTCCATCCACAATCAGCATTGGAGCGGCGATGTTACTACCAATTACAGTCTCCTAGAGATTTTGCCTTTGCAAATACAAATCTATGCAAGATCTCAAATCGATGTACTAGTGGTTATCAAGCTTTTCGGTCCTAGTCCTTCCGCTGTCTGCCGCATCGACCATGTTTCCTTCGGTACTGATGCTCTGATATTTCAAGTCGAGAACCTAAAACTACTAATCTTGCTTTGATACCACTTGTTGAGTCATACCACAAAAATTTGCTCCCAACAAGCACCCTTGCATATTTGTCAAAAAAAAAACAAGCACCCTTGCAAATAAGAAAAATACAAACTCAACCACTCATGCACTAGAGACAACACGTGCGCACATTAAATCTAGAGAGAGAAACTATTTCCTTGATTTATTAGCAAAAAAGTAACACATAAAAATTCTAAAGTCTCTAATACTTTTCTCGCCTTCTCTCTCTAAAACTCATGTCTATACCTCTCTCTCTCATTAACTCAACCAAAGATTCATGTCAAGGCCTCCATATACAAGTAGAAGACTTGCCTCTCACGTAAGGACAGCCGGATCTCCTAATAGCAACTAATTTTACACGTATCTAAATCTTCATTTACCATGTAATGGTAAATATAAATCTAATAAGTACCCAGGAGTTTAAAAACAACGGTTTCCAAAACTGAGCTCCGCTAGGGTTTTGAAGCAAGGAGGAACCAGCCAACCCCATAGGGCGTCTCCAGTCACCACCACCACAGCATCCCCAACCATCACCATTGTATAGCTTTGCCACCGCCAAGCTCCAACCAAAGCTCTTTTTCGGAGGCCAGATTCATCAGCAACAAGCCAGATCCAGTCTCTTTCAAGCAATATCTAGTGTCTAGCAAGCTAGATCCATCTTCTTTAAGGGCACATCCAGCCTTTTGCCTGCCGATCTAGCCACCTGCAACCATCTTGTGATCGTAAGCCTAAGCTTGCTTCCCCTCTTCTCTCTCTCTTGCCCTCACTTTGTTTTTAGTTTTTAGCTTCTTCTGTTTATCTCTTTGTTGTTCTCTTTTTCCTTCTTCGTTTTGGTCCTCTCTCATTTGTCTTTCTCCTTTCCCTTAGCGTCTCTCCTCCTTAAGCTCTTAGGTGTTTTTTTTGTTACTGCCCTGTTTGAAATATTTTTTTACTGCTTTTAGTTTCATAACCCCCGGCTTTCTTAGTTGGCCTCCTCCTCTCACGACGTTCGCCCCCCTTCCCTCCTCCTTTTCTGTGCTCTTTCGTCTCCTCTTTCCATCCATGTCTCCCTCCACCCTATATCGTTGCCCTTTCCTACTCACCCTCCGCTTTCGTACGTGACCCATTCCAATGCTTTCGACCTTCACCCTCTTCTCCAACTCTGAACTCTCCATGCTTGGGTTAACACCTAAAACAAGGATTCCTTTCTTAGGGGTCAACCACCTTTGCCCTAGAGGTCTATTCTATCCTGCCCGGGGCTAACACCATAAATAGGGGATGGTCAATTCTTGACCTTGGTGAACCCTGTGTACTGTGACATATTACAATTGTTCAGAGAGTTTTATGGTTTTGGTATCCTCTTTTGCTGCGCCGTAGTTTTCCTCTCAATTCTCTCGTAGCTATTCTCTAGGTTCCTTTCGCTTTGGCTTTTCTACGCTTCCAACTCGTTCTTACCTCATTTTAAGCTCTGGTTTTCAGTTGCTGGTTGTGCCCCAACCCCCACAACGGTGCTGCCGATCGATCTCCTTATGGGCAATGTTAATCCTGTGTAGGTTGGTGTTTTCTTCCAACCCTGTGTATGTTCTTTATCGACAGTGTTGTAAGTGTTTTGTTGGTTTAGGATAGGTCTCTTAAGGGAGTTGAGAGCTTAGTCTCTTTACTTCTTCATCCCTTCTTTTTATTGTAATCTTGAGCCCTGCTCTTTATATTAATGAAAGTAACTATTAACATTCAAAACAAAAAAAAAAATCTACTAGATACTTATAAATACAACACTGAAATAATCATCAATTATTCTAAACCCATCCAAACAAAATTAGGAAACATAATATTTAGCCTCATCTTACTTAAAACTAATTCAAAAACTCTGTATCTCTGACCTAGTCATTGAGGCAAAAATCATCTGATCTTTTTGAGGCTTTTGCCGCTCCCATCAGCCTGTTCCCTCCAGCGTGGGCAAGAGAATGTGATGACTCTTAATATAGAAATAGGGTACTCAAACTTTCGCAATTATGTTTTTTTTTTAATAGAGAAGACTAATGGGCATTGGACGTCTAAACCAACCAAGTTATATATTGAAAGATTTGTTCTTAAATTTTGCTCTATTTTATTTATTATCTGAAACGTGACGCCTGCTTTCAAGATGAGTTCTGAAGTTTCGTCCCTCTTACAAACACCAGCGTACCCACCCAAACATAATCAATTGTTCACCTCTTCCAGTACTAAGTTTAGCTAGAGAATCTCTCTTGAATTTAATAGATAAAATTAAGCTTTTTTAAAATTAAAAACTGCTTTAAAATAATAATAAATATATTAATGGATGGGGTTGCCCATTTCTATAGTATCATTAGAAACAATCTTAAAAAAAATTTAGGATCCAAAATTTTACATAATATCTTTACAAAAAAATTACAAACCCCGTAAAAGACATATTTTTTTACAAACCAATTTTTTTTAACAACTTTTACCCCAAATTCATGTTTGATAGTAAATACCCCTAAGTCGGAAGAAAGTCAAACAAAGACTAAACTATGCTCCCTTTAACTTTTACCCTTTTCCATGCCTCGCTCTTTTCTTTTTCCACTAGACCTAGTTATTTTACTCCCCCTTTCCATTTGAGAAAGACCCACAAGCACTCACGCTCTTCTCTCTCGCTCTTTTTCTCTGGACCTTTGGCCCGAGCTCCCTCCTTCTCTATCTTGCTCTCTCTCCTTGAAACCAGGGCTCAAGCTTTCTCCCTCTCCCTCTACGAAGGATCCACGGCCAGAGGTCCCACCACCTTTCGCTCTCTCTCCCCCGAAGACAAGCCGGAGCTCTCTCCCTCTCTCTCTGTCTCTCTATGAAGGACCCATGGCCCAAGCTCTCACTCTCTCTATAAATCAGCCCAGGCTCTCGATTATTTTATTTGTTTTTATAGAAAAATACATATATCCATGGGCTGGTATATCAGATATTTGATGAGATAGTACATGCATATATTATGTCTATATATTGTTGGATTAAACTATAGCTTAGAAAAATGGTATTGTTTACTCAATATGGGTATTGCTTTCCTAAATTGGAGATGCAAATATCTTTATCCCTTTTTTTTTTGTATCAAATTTGATTATCTGTGTTTTAACTATCCATCGCTTTGTTTAGCTCTATGTGTGTATGAGAGAGAGAGAGAGAGAGAGAGAGAGAGAGAGAGATTCGTGTATGTGATTAAATGCATTAAAATAATTTATCAATCGAAAGCTACAACTTTAGTATGAAGTTTTGCTTGAATTTGAAATGCATTCAAATCATTTATAAGGCCAAAAGTTTGCTTGCTAGGTTCTTTGAAATTAGTGGTATATGTTCACATCTATAAAGTCATTTGGTTTTGTTTGATTTTGCAAATGAAAGGCAATGTGCTAGTGTAAAAGACATTGGAGCTCATATTCTCACTCTTAGATATGAACTGGTTTTAGCAGAAAATTGCATGTTCATCTTAAAGGTTGGGTCATCTTTTGAGGCTCTTTATTTGAAGACTACTTTCCATCATTTACTAAAAGATCGAGAGCCGTTATCGGGGTAAAATCGTATAGATTGCAATATTCATATAATTATTGCTAGAAATGTTTATATAGGTTATATACCCCCCAAAAATATGCCTAGCTCTTGTTAAAATTTAATAGTAGCTCTTTTTACAAAAATCTAGCTTGAGCCTACCAAATTTGGGCAAGTTCAAGGCCAGTATTAAGACATTGTATATGCAATGTGTGAAGTGTAAGTTATTACAAATCTTGTGCAGGACAAGAGAAAATGAGTGATAACAGATTGTACATTTTTATTGACCGTAGAATCAAGTGTCGATGTAATTTGAGATTATATTGGTGGTGATGCATGTACCTTTTTTATTGATAGTAGAATTAGGTTAGATGACATGCAAAAATACATAGCAGATTGTTTCTCACTTGACATATACTTGATATCATTGAGGTATTTTGTTTCAAGAAATAGAAGATTTATTGTGATTATTCATTGACAAAGATATTGAGATGATGTTGAACGCTCATGACGGCGAGAATGATGTGATCATCCATGTATTTGATGGGAGTGAACGTAGGGGTGGAAGTATTTCATATAATTCTATGGCAATCGAAGAGGTCAGATCCCCCAAATCCTTTAATGTTTTCGTCTCTTGTTCTGAACAAAGCAATGCCTCAGTTTATGGGAGGATGTACTTACCAGGGCATGGGAGGAGTTTGAATAACTGGATGACTTTCTAGAAGCCCTTAGCGCGTTTGCTATAGCACATCATTTCACATATTGTTTTGTTAAAAATTAGGGGTATCACATAAGGGCGAAATGCAAGGGTGATGGATGTAAATGGGAGAGATATACTTCGAAGTTTGGTAGGATGAATGTTTTTAAATCAAAACATGAAAAAGAGAACACTCATATAATATTGGGACAAGCAATGATGTACAGAGAAGAGAGCCATAAAAATTTGTTGTTTCCTTAATTAAAGATAAATTAAGTGACAATGCGCATTACAATGCTAAAGAAACCACGAGTGATTTGTCTCGATATATTGGGATAGAACTACCCTATTGAAATGCTTGGCGAGGGAAAGAAACGGCTATCATGGCCATACATGGTTCACAAGAGGAGGCATATAACCAGTTATCGACATATGTAAATTGTGTGATGGACACGAATCTTGAGAGTTATGCAACATGACACATATGACCGGATGGTAGATTTCATCGTTTATTCTTAAGCTTTTATAGCTCAATACATAGCTTTAAAAGTGGATGTCGTCCACTTTTATTTTTCGATGGAACATCATTAAAGACACGATACTTTGGGACTCTACTTGTAGCCAACTCACTTGATGGAGAAGAACAAATATTTCCTGTTAACTGATTATGATTTATAGAATCTTTGAAGATTTTATTGGGACATATTGTGAAATCGTTTTTGTGTCAGATAGATATTAGGGGTCTAGTTGAGACTGCTTGTCAAGTTTTTGAGAATGCCCATCATACTTTTTGTGAGTGCCATTTAGTGAAAAAATTCATGAAGGAAGAAAAACATATACCTAATGATGTTAAGACGGTCGTTGTAAGTGCCTTTGTCGGAGCATGTAGAGCATACAAACATCAAGAGTATTTTGGCAAGATGAGTGAAATTAAATCAATTTCGGATGATGCATTCAAGTGATTCATGGAAGCATCTCTAAACCAATGGGCCACATCACTCTTCAGGAGTGAGCGATATGGCCAAGTAACAACCAATGTGGCTGAGTCATTTAATAAGTGGATTCTAAAAGCACGAGATATACCAATTCTCCAGTACGTTGATTTGATTAGGAAGCAAATAATGAAATTAATGGCCATCTGCAGCTTCGAAGCTAAAACCCAAACTACAATACTTACCCCACACACTCAAGATGAACTGAGAAAGATCATAAAGCTATCTCTTTCTGTGAGTGTCATTGTATCAAATAGATGAGTGTTTGAAGCAAGGGGTGATCACATGAATTATAAGATAAATATTATTGTACGAGAATGTGAATGCCGTGGTTGGGAAATGATGGCTTTACCTTGCAAGCATGCTTGTAAAGCCCTTCAATGGATGAATAGGGATCCTATTGACTTTTGTGAAGACTATTTAGAGGTTGAAAAATATCGTGAAACATATTTCGAAGCTATCATGCCAGTTACCTTGATCGACCTGTCTGAGCATAGTTTGTGTGGACAACTTCCTCCAAATGGATTAAGAGTGCTTCCACCTCATTCAAGACGTCCCTTTGACCGACATAAAAAGAAAAACATTCGTAGTTGGAAGTACTAGTGTGACCTACCCACTGTAGTCAGTGCAAAAGAACTGGTCACAATATGGCAACATGTAAAGCACCTACTTGAAAGCATATATTTTTACTTATCTTCTTTACTTTATCTTTTTTAATTAGATCACCCACTTGTGGGAAATTTTGTTAGTACATATATTAATGGCGTTTATTCTACTTATATTCATTTCGTGCTATTGGCACACATATAATTATGTTTGTTTCTTTCCCATTGGAGCACCATCATTTGTTTTGTATGGGCCATTTTCTCTCTTTTTTTATTGGAGCATCTTCTTGTGGTTATTTATTTCCAATTCATATGTACATACTTTTAAAATGATGTGTTGTGTACATGTAAAACTTTGATAATTTAAATAGATTTAGTGATGCAAGACCTGAAACAACCAAGAGGAACAGGTGACCCATCCACTTCGTCCGATCAAAGGCAAGAGGTACAATGGTCTATTTGTTTTAGTTTACATTAATTGGGTAATTATCATATTGTTAATAACTATTGTCATTTCTTATTGAATTTCATTTCAGGAGAGAAAAAATATTTGTATTGACAAATCAACTAAAACCTTAGAAAAATGGGAGCTCTATCGACAATGAGTAGCTCTGGTTCAAACGACCAAATTGAGCTCATTAATAGACATTAAGGTCTCTTATATGGATTGCAAACTATTGAAGGCCTTTATAGGGAAATGATACACAGAGATAAATACCACACGACTAACCATTGGTGAGATGACTTTAACCCTATACACTGTGTTGTAGATATTAATGATACCTGTGACATGCGAGTATATTCCTAGAAGATAATAAGTTGATGCATTTTAATCATACATGGTTGAGGACGAGATTCAGGCAACTACCAAACAAGCCCAATAAAGTACAACTGATGCAACACACTCGAGCATATGTTCTTTATTTAGTCAGTACGATTATATTTGCTGACGCATCTAAAAGATTGACACTTGCAATTTATATGCAATTGTTTCGATATTTCAATAAGGCAAGGAAGTATGTAGGGGGTATTGCGGCGTTTGCCTTCTTGTATCGTTCCTTATCTAAGGTCGTGGGTGGGGATACGATGCATTTTATTGGGTCAGCAACACTTAAAGCTTTACAATTTCTTTGGCTTCTTATGATTTGCTTTTACTATTTTTGGTGCAGTGCTGAGTCTATGAGCATTTTTCAAAAACCACTCCACAAAGACCCATTAAAAGCACTTGATGATATCTCATTTGACGTGGTCAGTCGTTTGCTTGTATGCTTATATAATTGTAGATATTCTATCGAAGACAAATACAAATAAGTGTTTATTGTGTCATATTTTTTTTAGGTGATCTGGCAAGCATATGAGGAGTACAACCCATTAGATCTACTCAGTAAAGAAACCACGTTGTACTGAATATAGCTGATAAATTTCAACATTGTAGAGTACTATATGCCCGATCGCATGTTGCGGTAATTTGAGAAGATGCATGGGATTTCTGTTGAGCCTCCAAAGTGGGATAGGAGGGAGAGATGATCGGTATACACCTCACAAGTTGGATTAACGAGTTGAGCAGGCAAATACGTGACTGGCGGGAACGAGAATACATGTCTTCATGGAAGATGTGGATAAATATCATGGAATACCTACAGGAGAGTACAAGGCCTGACACAAAATGTTTACCTACAGATATAGAAATACCACATGTCTTTCCCTACCGTCGCAATCACATGTACAATCTGCCATAGGCCATGATGACGACAAGAGATTGGTATACTATTTAATTTATTCATTTTATATTTTATGAATGTAATATGTATTCAAAGTAATGTTTTATTTTATTTTTTTATTGTCTACTTGTAGCAATTAACCTGTATAGGGATGTTACAAGCTGCACTTAATGGTGAAATATTAGCAGGGGAATCCCAATGTTATGTACAAGCGGTTTATGATTTGCTATTCAATAACACTTTTGCAGAGCCAAGTTCCGAGGAGGTGGTGGAGCGTAGGAAAATGAGAGCAACGTAGGAGATGGTGAAGAAGATGAAAGCGAGAGCGAGGAGGGAGATGGTGGAGAGGAGGAAAATGAGAGTGAGGAGGAAGATAGTGGAGAGGAGGAAGCGAAAGTGAGGAAGGAGATGGTGGAGTTGATGAAAGCAAGAGCGAGGAGGACAATGAGAGGAGAATTAATAGAAGAGATGACCAGTTTGAAGTGTCCATCCTTGCACCGGCCTTATATGAAGAATCAAGGTAGAATTTGTGATCTCGAAGAGAGGGGGATGCCCAGAGGAAACGATTATAGAGGAACCCGATATGAATAAAAAGGGTATTCCTAGTAGCCTAAAAAAGGTCGGAGGCGAAGAAATTGACTAATATGTAGTTTTGAGTATAATATGTACTTTTGAAACATTTTTTGAGTTTGATATGTATTTTTGAAATAGATCTATAAGTAATTTTACTTTTGAAAGGGTTTTATATAATTTGATATGTACTTATGAGGTTAACATGAAAAGTCAATGGTTCATTTTTTTTGTTTGAAATATCTGAATGAACTTATTTATTTATCATGTTTATGTGAAAAGCCATAATGCAAGATCCTATGATGATATCAATGTATTTATCAGGCATAATATAATGTGATGCCCAACAAAAATACAAGCATGATATAATGTGATGGCAAGGCCATGAGGCCCAGAATAATTTCCGTATGATGCTCACAACATTGACTGGACAAAATGTAAAGTGGGTTCGGCAAAATGTACAGTGGGCTTGGAAAAATATACACACGGTCTGGTAAAATATAGTCTCGGTCCGACAATTAAAAGTGGCAGTCCAACAATGGAGCTTCTAAAAAATAAGGGGTTTGACACTTTGTAAAGGTTGTCAGGCACTAAATGTTATTGGAGAAATAAGGGGTCCGACAGTTTATAGAGGCGGTTCGATAATGGCGTTTTGGAAAAAAATGGGTTAGACATTTTATAAAAGCGGTTCGACAAAAAATGTTCTTAGAAAATAAGGGGTCCAGTAGTTTACAGAGGGGGTTTGGCACTGGGATTCTGAAAAAATTGTGATCCGATACTTTACAATGTCAGTGCGGCCCTAAATGTTTATGGAAAACTTAGGGGTCTGACATGTATTTTATCGATTCGACATGTCCTTTTCTCGGTCCGACAGGTTGACATGATTTACCTGCGATCTGACACATTGACCACGGGGTCCGACATTATGTTCAAGCGCTTCGGCAAAACCATGTCCCGATCCAGTAATATTGGCCTAAGGTTGTCTTCACGTGGGTCCATCATTTTTATCTCTCAGTCCGACACTATGTTCGTGAGTCCATATCATGTTTGGCCCAACATAATTTGTTCTATACAGAAAAGGGTATTTTCATAATATATATATATATATATATATATGATTTTTTTTTAACTTGGGGAGTATTTGTAAGGAAAATTAATTTTGGGGTAAAAATTATGACAAAAATTTGGTTGGGGGGAGGTTGTCTAGAAAGCCTGTTTTTGTGTGGTTTTTGTAATTTTCCCAATCTTTATTTCTTTTTTAATCAATTAGAAAACAAAAGAAAAGAAGGAAAAGTATATTGTCCACATCATGTGGACAGGTGCATAAGCACCCTGTCAGTGGTTGAGATTTAACAAGGCCATATCCAATGGCCAAAAATTAGTCTCATATTTTTTTTTCTTTTTTTTTTAAAAATAAGATATTCATCTGAATTTTGGGATCTAGGTGCAGTTTTATAAAGGTAACTAAAATAAAAATGGCTAAAAATTATTTTAAATAAAAATAACCAAAATATCCGTAAATTTATTGAAAAAGGTTTATATAGAGGTGAGAAGAGGTTGTTTTGATGCTCAAATATCCTCAAATTGATCATCTCGACTTCAAGATACATTGACATGAGAGAAAAAAATGGATTTCAAATTTTGGAAATAATACATCTTGGAATGCATTTTTAGACCGTCAATTTTCAATATTTTTAAGTTTTCATAGATCTGCTCGATCTACACTATTTTGAAACTTTAAATTTTATAATTAAAGGTAAATATATGTTCTAAGGCTATCACAAAGATTTTCAATATTGAAACACATTTCTCGATACTATTTGAAGGTGCACTTTATTTTGATTGTTTAGAGCCTTGACTATATACAAACCACACCCAAATTTTTTATGATCGATATTTCTCATTCAAATATTTTTTAATATTTTCATTCATTTATACTTATTAAAGTGAAACCATAGCCCGCATTTCATATTAATATACAATAAAACTATTTCTTTTTAATATACGGAGGTCACAATTATCATTGAGTGTTAGATTTGAAATGGGGTTGTTGAAGATGTATCATTGTTTAAACACAAAGCTCAAAATAAATTTCTCGAATATTGTGTCATATTTTTTTTATTGGATTTCACATCTAATAGTTAAAAATAATTGTGAGCACATTATTCCATAACTAAATCAGCTCGTAGTATACAATCCCTTAAATAAAAATCCAAAATAAAATATAAAATTAATTTTGACCCATGGATGAGGCTGGTTCAATATGAACATTAAAAGGCGCACAAGCACTTTTTAAGAGTCCGCATCAGGTGGAAGCAACGCCAACCCGAAAAAAAATTTGCGCTGTTAACGACTCGTAGATATTTTACGTTACACAACTGGATGGTCCAAAATTGAAGTTGGTGGAAAATGAAAATAATTTGTCGCTGATTTTCTTCTTTTGATTTTAACTTAGGGCTTGCTTAGAATGGAAAATTGGAAGTCATATTGTGAATCATTGGCTATTGTTTCCCTTCTCTTACCAACCCCTTTTAAATGACGTTTTTCTTCTCTTTTTTTACTCATTCTATTGATTAAATCTCATCTTGAAGATTAGTATAGAATTATGTATATGCAATGCACTGTAACCTATTTTAGAAAGGGAAAAAAGTTTATATAAGGTTGCAATCTTATAATGTAGAGCTACGGATGCACCTCAAAAATCTATGGGAAAATGTAGTTTTAATGTTGAAAAACCCTTTGATTGATCATCGAGACATCGTGATGTATGACAATGAAAAATAAAAAGATTTTAAGTTTCAGAAATAGTACATTTTACAAGTTATCTACTCTTTGCATTTTCAAGATTTTCATATGTTTATAGATCTATTTGATTTTAACTATTTTTGAAATTTAAAATTTTATAATTAGATATGAAAATAAATTTTGAGATAATCCTTAGAACATTTTACATCAAAATTATATTTCATAATAAAATTTGAAGGTGCACCTTACCTCTACAGCTACAGATGCATCTGTATGCCATCTACACCCTTTACAAAGATACGATACACATGCATGTTAGCGTCCGATAAAAATAAAAGTATTAAGAAAACTAATATCAAAATTAGTCTTTTCTGACACGTCATATCGTACTCGAAGTAACTTTTTGTTTAGGGATATCTTAAGTAATTTATAAGGGAAAACACAGAAGTTCTCGACAAAAAGATAAAGGGATTGTATACAATAAGACCATTTACCTTTGGACTAGGGAGGTCACAATTACTTATAACCACTTGATGTGAAATTTGATAGCTTAGGTGTATCACAAAGTTTGAAAAAAATTCTTTTGAACTTTATGTTAATGGTCTCATCATATGCTTTCTCTAAAGATAAATATTATGGTTTCATCAACATGAGGTGTGACATCACCAATAAAGAGATTATTAATCACTAGTAAAATGCCACGAGTTTTTTTATAAAAATATCTATCATACCTTTTTTAATGGCAAAAAATACCTTTATTAAAAAAGAATTTGTATTACAAAACAAGGGACGATGAATATCGAAAAATGTTGCATACATTAAAGAAATATTCATATGTACGAGTACCCTAACATAACTCATTATTATTTTAAAAAAGAAAAATGTGGGATTTTTATGTAAATTAAATACTTATATAATCTATACTTTTTAGGTGCAAATGCAAGCATATTGTCCTTAGCATGCCAACACATGCAAAGACCCTAACATCATCTTATCCAAAATGCATGGTATGCGTTTTCTTCGATGTCCAACCAAAGCGATAAACCTGCCAATTTCTTCATATGCATACCTTTTGAATGGATAGTGAAGATGTGGCCTGCAATGCACAAGTGTTACTGTGTGCCATAGGTTTCCGCATTCGCCTTCATGTGTCATTTATTTTTCACCCACCTTAGTCATTGAGGTTGCAAGTTACTTTTCTAAGTTTTTAAATTTTAAAGGGAAAAAGTTTATATAAGGACCAAGCGCTAAACAATTAAATTAAAGTGCACCTCAAAAATCTACTAGAAAAGGAATTTTGATGCTAAAAAAAACTTAAATCAATTATCTGGACGTCAAGATGTATGAACATGAGAAAAATTGGAGTTCAAGTCTTGGTAATAGTTTATCTTGTAATGCGCTTCTGGACAGTCAATTTTCAAGTGTTAGTAGATCTGTTTAATCTACACTATTTTTTAAGCTTTAAATTTTATAATTGGATATCCAAATAAAGTTTCAATCCATCACAAAACTTTCCAGTACAAAAAAATATATTTTTCAACACTATTTAAAGATGCACCTTAGATTGTTTGGGGCCTCGGCCCAATACAAACCATTTTAAATTCTATTGATTAATTTTCTTAGATAAATTGCTGCATTACTTAGTATTTGTTTTAGACTTTTGCCCAAGGGAAAACGAAACAAAAACTGAAATTTCTGGGGTAATTGCCTTTACTTATTCGTGGCTTACCTACCCAGAAAAGGACGTTACAACTTTCCTTCTTAATTAATAAGAAGCCATAAAAATGCACCATTGAACTTCTACGAAATCTCTAATTTTTTTTAATGAAATTATATTTTTTATTATAGGCAACTAGAAAATAAATAAAGATTCCTTTAAAGTACTTACCTTAAGGCCTTAAGCAGCACGAGGATTAAAATTTAGTCGTCCAAAACCAAGGCTTTCTCTTTCATATGCAAAGCAGAATACTCTCTCTCTCTCTCTCTCTCAGCCTGGGGAGTTGAATGTTTTGAAGAATGAAATTTAACAATTTATGCCTCTCAGCTTGGGGAGTTGAATGTTTTGAAGAATGAAATTTAACAATTTATGCTTTTTACCTTCCATTCACAAAACCAAGGGAAAAATGGCATTTATCTAACATCCTCAACTGTTTTATTTTTTATTTTGTGTTTTCTACAAAACATTTGAACAAAAATTTAGAGCATCCACTCCTCTACGAAGCTTGCACTTGCAAAACAAAAATAAAATAAAATCACCAAAATAGCCTAATTTATTTTTAAAAATATTTTTTGATACTTTTTAGGTACACCTCATTAAGATGATGACAAATACCAAATTTCATATGCATATAATTTGGGAAAAAAACTAAAAATAAAATACACTGAGATATTAGATCTAGATCAAACGGCTAGTGGCTCACTT